GTGATTTTTTTAAACCTTTTTTTTTTTTTTTTTACCTAAATTTGCTAAATTCATAATGTATATTTCAGTGATTTCACAGCTTTAAAATGTACTCTCTTTTTAGACTGTCATCTTTAGTTATACAAGATTTGGTTCCCTTAAACATATTCAATGTAGTTACAGTATAGTTTGTATTTGCTTGGAAACAATTTTGAAAGTTCTAGGTTGTAGTGTGGCTAAATATTTATTTATTGATTGATTGATTTAATGGGTGACTTGACTAAAACTGAACCATTTTAAATAGTCTTTAGTTTGTTGCTTCACAAGCTATATTTTAAAAGTACTGTAACTTTAGCCGTTATTTCCTTCACTATTTCCAAGCAACCTTAAACACAGACCAGCAGAAATGTTGTCAGACAAAATGGGTGCTGAGGACCCCATGTGTGCACTATTTTAGATTGTTCAAATAGCAATTTCACTGTTGTGAAACATCAAACCACTAAAACCTGGAAAGAAGAGTTGTATGGCTTCTTGGCAGAGCTGTTTCTTGTAGGTTTAACTTGCAATGATGAAGTGGGTTTAAACGTACTTTGATTTTGAACTTGGCTGAGGTGAGATGATTTGGCTGGGTTGTAAAGTTTTAATTCTCTTGTTAGTTGGTGGGGGTGTTGTAGAAACAGCGTGGGGTGCGCTCACAGGGTTTGCGTATGAATTGATGTAATTGCTGGATGGACTATTTGGCTGAGAGCAGTGCTGATTCTAGATGTTTGCAACGAGATGGTACAATCTTGTGTTTGCATTAACATTTCTGTAATTAGAGCCTTTGAGCACATGCACAAAAACACTCTGGTTTAAGAAAATAGTGAGATAAGATACTAATATGAACCTTTTCTACCCAAGTTGTACTTTTTTCTAGTCTCATTAGAAACCAGTGAATATGGAAAGAAAATATGTTCTTTGAAAAAGATCGTCCTTCAAGTTTTCAGCCCTCACATATCCCAAGAAAAACACCATTGGGCCTCAGGAAAGTTGGGGTACGTTTTGGAGCCTCTGTCTGGACTTTTGTGAGCGAAAAGGGAGTCCGAAAGAGGGAGTGAGAAGGGCCAAAAGAAGAAAGAAAGACAGAAAGAGTGCAAATGGGCGCAGTTGTCGGGCACTATCAGCCACGAGGATCGAGAAAGGCTCTTTCTCCTTTCTGAGCTCTGTGTGGCTTGGACTCACAGCTCTATTGAAATACAATATCGGTCCCTGCCGACACAGACAATGACGGCTTTAAACCGCCTTGCTTTCGCTGTCGTGTGTTTTTTGCATCAGGGAGCAAGTATCACTCAACTGGGTCGGCGCAGACAAAAAGCTCTCTTCTTCTCCCCTGCCAGGGTTCAAAGCCCCCTCGGATTTTACTCTGTGGCGCTCCATTAGACTGCCGCTCTTATCCATACCATGTACTGTGTGCCCTCATGCATTGTAATCAGGATCGCTGTGAAGAGTTGTTGTTCCCTCCACCCTGACAGACAGGAAGCAGAAGAAAAGTGCCCTGGCCAAAGCACAGGAGCGGAGTGCTGTAAACATCCGTGCCAGAGAGATCAGATTGTTGTTGGTGGCTTCAGTATGTGAAACAAAAGCCTGAGGAATGTTATCTGACAAAGAAGAGTAAGCAACATGAGAGAGAGAGAGAGCCTCTTTTGTTTGCAAGTTGTCAATACCAATGTCATTTGCAAACAAAAGATTTAAGTGTTTGATAAAAAAATACTTGCCATTAACTTTATTAGGAGCTACTTTAACGTTTATCTTAAGAACTCCATGTGGTGATACATACTGTATTTGGAATATTCATAAAAATTAAGCCACTAAAAAGAGAACACGAGGAACAAAATCTGGTCCTTAGACTGGCTCATTTCTGTTTATCACCTATATGAAATGTTAAAAAAATTATGTTTAAATATTTAATTTTTTTGTAGCTGGTTTAGGTGGTCTCATAGCCTGGAAAAGTCACTTAAGTCTAGTCAAATTTTTTGTAGCTTAACAATTATGTAATAAAAAAAAAAAAGTAAGAATGCATATTTGAAAGAAATGTATACTTTTATTCAGCAAGGATGCATTAATTTGATCAACAGTAAAGGCATTGCTATATAAAATTGTATTTGAAATATATGATGTTTTTTGAATTTTCTATTCACTAGAGAATCTTAAAAACTTGAACTTACAATTGATAATAAAAATAAATGTTTCTTGAGTATCAAATCAGCATATTAGAGTGATATTGAAGGATCATGATAACTAGATAATGGCTGCTGAAAATTCAGTTTTGTCATCACAGGAATAAATTACATTTTAAAATGTATTAAAATAGAAAGCAGTTATTTTAAATTACAGCAATATTACTGTTTTGATCAAATAAATGC